GCTAGCGATGACGCGAGCGAGCGAGCGAAGCGAGCGAGCGAAGCGAGCGAGCGAGCGACGCGCGAGCGAGCGAGCGAGCGAAGCGAGCGAGCGAGCGAAGCTAGCGAGCGAGGCGAGCGAGAGAGCGGAAGTCGCGGAGGAGCGAGCGAGCGAGCGAGCGAGCGCTGCGAGCGACAGGCAGCGAGCGAGCGAGCGAGGCGAGGAGCGAGCGACAGCGAGCGAGCGAGCGACGAGCGAGCGAGCGAGCGAGCGATCGATCTATTCTATCTATCTATCTATCTACTATCTATCTATCTAAATCTATCTATCTATCTATCTAATCTATCTATCTATCTATCTATCATCTATCTATCTATCTATTCTTACTTCTCTCCATCTGTCTCTCCATCTGTCTATCTATCTGTCTATCTATCTGTCTATCTATCTGTCTATCTATCTGTCTATCTATCTGTCTCATCTATCTGTCTATCTATCTGTCTATCTATCTGTCTATCTATCTGTCTATCTATCTGTCTATCTATCTATCATTCTGTCTAACTATCTATTTAAAAACCATTACTAATTTAATTTTCTTTGCAGAAATACATGCCGCCGCCAAAGAAACAGTTGCCCTAGCCGAGCAACGTTTCATGTCAAATTCCCATGAATGGCAATTTGACAATGCCTGGCAGGAAATGCTTAATCATGCCACACAAAAAGTAATGGATGCTGAAAAGCAAAAAGCCGACTGCCATGCGGAGCATCAACGTCGCACACGTATTTTTCATGCAGCCGAACAAAAAGTTCAACAATTAGAGGAACGTTTTCGTCGCAGTATTACCAAATCAAGGCCCTATTTCGAGGAGAAACAAATATGCCAAGATCAATTACAAACCCAAAAGAATCGCATCGAAGAGCTACAACTGCAAGTGCAAACGGCAAAGAATACCTATGCCACTGCCTTGCGTAATCTAGAGCGTATAAGTGATGATATACATAGGCAAAGAGGAGATTATCCACAGCTTTTAAACACACCACCACCAGGACCCCGTGAGCCGGGTGTAGGAGCCGAGCTTAATTCACCCACTAGCACCACCATGCCATCCTTGCCCGATTACCATATGGAATTGGATAAATGTGATTATCCCTCCATAGCAGGCAGTCAAATGTCTTTAAGTGGTCAATCGGAAAAATCCTCTGAGACTGCTTGCAGTACCAGCAACAACCTCAATAAGAATGCTGCCGCTCCCTTAGCCATATTGGCCTTAAAGGCAGATTCTGAAATTGATGAAGAAGATGATGTGGTTATCAAGCAGCACGGTGCAGAAGATTATCCCGATGAACAGGTAGAAGACTATAATGATAGTCATGAACTTAATTCGGGCATAGTGGATGAACAAGATCTCGAAGCTTTAAGGCAACAAGTTAAATTTTTAGCCGTAAGACCCATAGAGGGAGGAGATGGTCAACAAGAACAAAATGATGTTTGGGAGCATGAATTGAATGCCACAGTGGATAAATTGGATCACTTAATGCTGTTGAAAGAATGTGCAAAACAGCAGCAACAACAACAGCAGCCACAACTTACCACCTATACGGCTAAAAATAAAAATATTGCAGTAAGACCCGACTCTTTGGGTGCCGAGGCTTGTCCTGCTCCTAAAAATCCTCTTATAAAGGTAACACAAGCTAACGAGGTAGTTAACAGTCTACCCAGTACCCCCGAACATGTAGTGAAACCCTTGAAAAAACTACAAAAGCTGGAACCCTTGCCCCTGGTTAATGTTTCCATGAGAGAAACTACCCCTACTCGCACGTCTTTCAAATGAAATACTAGATACTAGCAGTGGTTATAATAAACAACGTAGACGTTCGTTGGATTAAGTTTAGGAAGGAAAACTTTGTAAATTCACAAATTTAATATAGTACATAGCTAATAAGTAATTACAAAACAAATTGTTAGTTATGGCAAACTCTACTTGATCTGCTAAATAATTGAAAATTTTGAAAAATTTAAATTATAAAAGAAAAATTTTAGAATTTTAATATTAACAGCATTAACGATCAATTGAATTAACATTTAAATAAAATACAAGTATTTTTTTAATTTCTTTTGCAAAACTTTCAAACAAAATATGTAATTATATTTAAAAATTAAAATAATGTTAATGTGATAATTTATTAAAATTTCTAACAAAATTAGTTATAGTTTTGAAATATTAATAAAGAAAACAAACAATAAAATCGTTTCATTTGCAGCTTTAAAGCTTTAACTTTAAAAATCAAATAACAAACAAATAGTGTTAATTATATTAAATATAATTTCTTTCTTTTTAACTAAAAACTAAATTCAATAAGAAATTGATTGTGGTTATAAATAATTATAAAATAAGTAATATAAAATTTAAACAAGAGTATTGTTGAAAACAATGCAAAGAATACAAATTTAATAAAAAAATAAATAAAAAAGAGTTCATTGCAAAGCCGGTATTAAATAAGTTTTAAAATGAAAAGTTGTAAAATATAAAAGAAAATTACAAATAAAAATTATGATCTTACTTTTTATATTGTTTCTTTTGGGGGTTTTAGAGTTAAGGGTTAAAGTTAAATATGTAGATAGATAGATAGATAGATAGATAGATAGATAGATAGATAGATAGATAGATAGATAGATAGTTAGATAGATAGATAGATAGATAGATAGATAGATAGATAGATAGATAGATAGATAGATAGATAGATAGATAGATAGATAGATAGATAGATAGATAGATAGATAGATAGATAGATAGATAGATAGATAGATAGATAGATAGATAGATAGATAGATAGATAGATAGATAGATAGATAGATAGATAGATATATAGATAGATAGATAGATAGATAGATAGATAGATAGATAGATAGATAGATAGATAGATAGATAGATAGATAGATAGATAGATAGATAGATAGATAGTTAGATAGATAGATAGTTAGATAGATAGATAGATAGATAGATAGATAGATAGATAGATAGATAGATAGATAGATAGATAGATAGATAGATAGATAGATAGATAGATAGATAGATAGATAGATAGATAGATAGATAGATAGATAGATAAATAGATATATAGATATATAGATAGATAGATAGATAGATAGATAGATAGATAGATAGATAGATAGATAGATAGATTGATGTTCAATAAAATAGAGCCACCAGCTCGTCTATAGTTTCTCTCTACTTAAAATCTCTCCTACAAAGATTAGAGTTGTCTGGAATAGGTAATAGGCAACTTTTTATTTTGAAATTCCAAGTGGGCGAGTAGCCACGCCCATATTAAGAAAATATTAAATCCGTATATTTTAGATAATATAACAGTTAGAGTCCTCAAATTTTGTCGGAGCAACTTTAGTGTCAATATAATTATTTAGGACAAAAAGTAGGCGGACTATCATTAGGGGGTGTGGCACCTCCCATATAAATTAAATACAAAAATACGTTTATCTTGGAAATTATTACAGTTAGAATCTTCAAATTTTGCACGAAAAACTTTAACATCTATCTAAACCTTTTGGGTAATAAATTGGCGGACTACCCATGAGGGGAGCGGCACCTCCCATATTAATTAAAGACAAAAATTCGTTTATCTGGAAAACTAGTGGAACTAAATTCTTCAAATTTCGCACGAAGAACTTAAATATTCATCTGAACATTTTGGAGGAAAAAAAAAGCTGACTTCATCTGGGGGGTCTTGAAGCCCCCACATGAATCAAATAGAAAAATTCGTATATCTGAGAAACTATTAGAGCTAGAATCTTCAAATTTTACATGGAGAACTTTGAAATTCATGTGAACATTTAGAGCATAACGGGCGAACTTTAAATGGGTGGCTTGGCACAACATATATGAATTAAATACAAAATTTCGTGCATCTTGGAAACTCTTATATTTTTAAAATTTTTTATAGATAGATAGAAATTGGCGATAGATAGAATCTGGCAAACTTGCAATAATTTGCCTGATCTAATAAATTAACTTTTTTACATCTGACCACAAAATATTACGACAAAAAGTACCGATTGTGAATTGGGCAATTTTAAAAAATTTTCAATATATTCGCACCTAAACTTTAATTTATATTTAAGATTTTTATTGAATATTGTGGACGAAAACTATTATACGAATTATTAAATATATTTTTCAAAATTTTTACTTAAAATTGTATATTTCACTAAAATAAGGAAAAATTAGAAAATGTTATTATAATCAATAAAAATAATCTTATTTGTGGTTACTGGTCAAGGATCGAGATTTGTTCTCAATATTACACTAACAAATGTTCACAAAATATCTTAAACTTTCACAAAAAAAAATTAATTTTTCACTAAAAAATTTTAAATTTTATTGAAAATGAGAAAAATTAAAGAACACTATACGACAATTAGTATCAAAGATATTTAAATTAGAGTCATAGCACACCACAAAATACAAATTTCGAAAATCAACTAATTATTAGGACTGGTTGTAGATTTGCAAAAGTTTATGATTTGGTGAAATGAATGACCTCTTAATGGGTTTGAATAAGAGGTCAGGTTTTGATTCAAATGAGAATCTTTAAATCATAGCTGTAAAATTTTGATTACGATTAATAATCAATTAAATTATTTTTCAAAAATAATCGTATTGATTATTTAATTCTCTGGTATAAAATTTCTGATTATTAATTAATTACGGTTAAAATTAATCTAAAAATAATCAGGATTAATTTAAATTAATGAAAATAATCAAAAATAATCAGAATTAATCAAATAATTAATTTGATTATTTTAAAGGATTAATTTCGATTATTTTTGATTAATTTCAATATATTTGCTACAATTCTCTGTCTTTTTACATTACGTGTAATGGAAAACTGTTTTCCAAGTTACACACTATTCGATTATGTGACTTTTTTTATTGAAAACAATGTATTTATCAAGTTTATTTCGTTTGAAAATCTTGATCTCAGTACAACATATTAGGAAAAAATCACTGCAATCTTTTCGAAATGGGTCTCAAAAATCCGTAATTTTTAGTGGATTACCGGAAAAATAATTAAATTTTTCTTAGAGTTTTTTTTGGGAGGAAATTATACTAAATATATGGAAAATAATCAAAATTAATCCATGAAAATAATCAACTAATTTTTTGATTAATTTTGATTTTTTTTGATTTTTTTTTTTATTATTTTCATAAATTCCAATTAATTCAAATTACGAAAAATTATTTTTAGATTATTTTTGATCGTAATCAATAATTAATTAAAAATATTGAAAATAATCGTTAATTAATCATTAATTTCACCTTTATAATAAAAATAATCTAATTAATAATGATTACGATTATTAATCATTATTTTACAGCTATGCTTTAAATTAATCTTATTCGGCGGGCATGGGTATATTTTGAAATTTAACGGCCTATCATTTCAAAAATGGGCAGTGTCATATATGCAATTTTACTGTTATTTGTATATTTGCCGTAGTGATGCGCTAAATATACCAAATCAGAAGGTCCATTTGTATGGGGGCTAGGTGAAATAATAGAATATCAAGCACATTTAATATTCTTCGTTCTTGTGCCAAAAAACATAAAATCTTGAAAATTCCGGCCTGTTCTTTGCTCACAGATTTTACATGGATAGTCAGCTAGCCGGACAGACTGACGGACATGACTTTGAAGGCTCAAAAAGTGATTTTAAGTCGATCAGTGCCAATATTTTTGTGCCTTATAAACATCATCAGCTCAAACGCATTATACCCTCCCCATATTTAATTAAAGTGAACTTTAGAATCTTTTCGATGTTGAAGTTTACTAGAAAGGGAGGAGGTTTAGAAGCTATCATTAAGCAAATGGTTTATTAAAAAATAAGTATGTACAGAAGGAATAATGAATGTTCATTTATTAAATTCAATTATGGGATAAGCCAACTACTCCAGGAAATCGTTCGTACTAAACATGGTTAAAAATAGGAACTTCTTTTTGAAACATTTCATTTATTGTGTTTTTATCAAAGCCTAGTAAAATAGCCCTTAATTTTCTAAGGCCTTAGCTTGTTGCATTGAATTTTTGTTTACGGTGCCTATTATTACACAAATTTATAAGGCAATGACATCATTTTTTAAATATAACCAATATTTTGAAAACATTTGCTAACTGTTGACACAAAAACTAAAGCAAACCAATTTAAGCCCAAAATCTTCAAAAGAACTTATTAATTGTTTGGACTTGGTTGTTCCAACAATAATAACAATAAATTTTAAACAATAAAACTAAAAATACCGAACCACCATAAAACCAATAACATATTTTACACAACTTTTCTCATTTTCCCTACAGACGCCACAGAAAATCCACTAATTTGTAACTTATCTCTTAATATTAATAATATTCTTAATAATTAATTAATTTTAAACATATTATTTACTAATTTACACAAAAACTTGCATAAATTATATAACTTTTTAATATAAAAGTGAAAATATTTCCAAAAAATCACTTTACCTTCTGCAGTACACGAGACTTTTTTGTACAGGGCAGCCTCACGTTTTTTACAATTTTTTTAATTCGTTAAAAATAATAGCCGCTACAAAAATTGTTTGTGTAACTAAACGCACATTAAAACTTTTAATTTAATACTTTAGTATTTTGTTTAAATTAATTTAAATATGTAAGAAAAACACACAAATATTTTTTTTAGATTTTTTTTTGTTTTTTAGTTATAACACACGCACAACACGAACAAAGTTTTATCGTAAACTGTCAAAAAAATGGAGTCAGCTGTATAAAGAGTTGCCAACTGTGTTGGGTTATACACAGACAAAAAGCTATTTGATTACAATTATCACTGCTGACGTTAAGCGACTATCGACAAAACGGTCTATTTTAATAATACAATATTAAAATTTTTAAAAATTCAATTTTTTACAGTTTATAGCTTTTAAATATAAAAAAATCGAATTGTATATTGTAAAATAAAATATATTTTTATACAAATTAATTTTTTTATTAAAAAATTCTTTATTCTGTTCTCAATTCATTTCATTCCGTAACTAAAACTCCCAGACTTTTATAAAAACAAAAACACGAGTATGGCAAAAAATAAAATCGAGTATGGCAAACAAAAAAAACGTCACTGAAATTTGCATATAAAAACTTTTAAAAATGTTTCCTAGGAAAACATTTCCAATCGAAAATAGATGAAAAGAAAAGTATGAAAATATTCATTGAAACTTGAACTTTTATGAAGTACGAATATGTTAAAAAACATGTCTGCAATAAAACTTACTTACTTAATATTATGTAAAAGAAACTCCGTATTTCGAAAATTACGAAAACTGTTAATTTGGAAAACTCTTTTAAATACTGAGAAATAAAACTGTTCGAAAAATTTTGGATGTCAATTCATGTTTTAGAACTTGAAAACTTATCTATAAAGTTCAAAAATATCACAAGGAAAGAAAATCATTAAAAACTCGTCGAAAACTTTTCTGTGAAAGAATGTTGAAAAAATCCAAAATAATTGGTGAAAATCAAATTTAAAAATCTTCGAAAAGTCAAGTAATGAAAAAAAAAACAAAGCTAACTGTTCAATTCATAAAGCTTGAAACTCATAGAAAAAATACTAGTAAAATGCTAGTATTTATTTTAAGCGTCAAAAATATGTATATTCTATGGAAAACTGATCAAAAATGTTTTTCTCGAAATATTGCTTTTTGAAAACTACTCGAAAATTTCTCAAATTAAAATATATACATTTATTAGGTTAATAATAAAGTTAACTAAAGCCTAGGATTTTATTATTTGTTATTTAAAAGTTACAAAGATTTATGGAAATTTTATTTTAATTATGACTTTTCATACAAAATTTTAATATAAAATTTTCGTCCGAGAAACTGAATAAAGGGGTTAATTTTTGCAAAACTAATAATAAAAAAGTAACTTAGACTTTTTTAGAAGAATTTTTGTAAGAAAATTCTTTAAAAAAAACGCTTTGTGGGGAGCCAAGGCTCAAAAGATTACTTGATAAATGCAACACTAAATCATTATTTCTAAAACATTTTCGAATTTTGTATTCTTTAAATTTGTTAAAGCTCTCATCTTAATTTACAAACCGATTATTTAATTAAGAAAAAACAACTTCTTTTTTTCCTATTTTTCCTAAAAAATAAACAAAGCCATGAATACATTTAAGTTAAGCTTTTTTCCCGCCATTTTCTACAATATAAACAAAGTTTTGGCAACACTTTTTCTTAACTTTGACAAATAAAATGTCAAATTTTGATAACAAAAAAACTTTAGCAAAGAGGAGGCTGCCATATTTGCCAAGGAGGAGCAAGCATTTCTTTAAACATTAAAAGCAGCATGATTAGTTTTTGTTTTGTTTTATATTATTGAGTGACTTATAATTTTGTTTATTGCTTAAATATTAAGCCTTACAATATTTCCGATAACTTTTCGAGTTACTGCAATTGCAAATTTCTTGTGTGTGAGTGAAAAAAACTTAATATAAAGTGTGTTGGAGTTTTGTTGAGAGGTAAGTACAACACAACAGAGATTATTATATTAGTTAACTTTTCTTATAATTAAATTCTTATTTAAATTCTGCTTAATGGCCATATCCGCAGCTGGGTTACGTATGACACTTATGGTTTTTTGGGCAGGATTTGGTACTAGTCCTGTTACTACTGGCTTGGCCATGGTTGCCGTCGCTGTCTGTTGTTGTTTATTTAGAATTTTCACTTTCATGCCTTTCGACTGTAGTTTCTGTAGAATTTCTAAGGTCTTGGTGTCGGTTTTATTAGTTGCCGCCGCATTAGCAGCTGCCGGTGGAGGCATTGTTTGTGTGCGCTTTACTTGAAGGCCTAAATTTTGTAATTTATTTAGTATTTGGGCTGTTTGTTTTTCCTTTGTCGGTTCTTGTTTTATAATGGTAGTGGGTATGGTTGTTGTTGTTGTGATGGTTTTGCGGGCTATGGGATTTAGTACGATATTTGTTGGTATATTAGTGGGGGGTAGGGTGTTTGGTGTATTTTGTGTGTTAATGGGTATAGGAAGTTTATCTGTTGTTTTGTTGGTAAAACCATTTGTTGTTATAGGTTCTGTCTTGCGTTTTTTACAGGCATAGGTTTTGGCAGTATTGTTGGGGGTTGTAGTAACATCTATTTGTTTGTTATCTGTTGTTGAGGCAAGGGTAAAGTGTATTGGCACTGCTTTGGGTAGGCTTAGTTTTCTCTTGGCAGTGGGTCTAACCTTATTGGCCGTCAAATCAAATTGCACACTTTTGGGGCTTTTAAGGCTTTCTTTAGCCTTTAATTCCGTGCTAGATTTAGCATTATTGCTGCCATTATTATTTGTTTTAAGATTTTCTTTAAATTGCACAAATGGAGTTACCGCTTCCACTAATTCGTCATATTGTTTGGCTGATTTCTGTGCTGTGGTTGTGGCACTATTTGCTGTAACATCATTATTTAAATCGGAATACCATTTAGGATCCAACAATTCTTCCTCTATATTTATCAAATCTATAAAATTTTCCTCCGTTTTGGTGTAAGTTACTTCCACATCTGTGTAATCGTATATTAAAAACTGCCCAACAAGAGACAGTGGAATGGTAAAAATCGATTCTTTACTAAAACATAAATACAAAGAAAACTCACCTCCTTGATTCCTTTTAGAGTTTTACCAAATAATTGTGTAGCTTTATCACAATTATATTTGATATTTTGCTGTCCTTTCTGGAAAAGATTCTCCAAGCCATCACATTTTTCCAAATGTTGCCGAAAATCTTGTAAATTTCGCAAGTCTGTGTGACAATTGTTGCAGAGTATAAATAATTGTAGATTTTCATCTAAAAGTACCTCTCCCATACGTATGCAATTTAATGTTTGCAACATTTTTTTGTTATAATTTTGAAAATTTAAAATTTATGTTTAATTATTGTTTAATTTTTCGGTTAGTTTGTTTATGTATTTTTTATGTTGTAGAACTTTGAAAATGTTGATAAAAATTTTGTTTACAAACTAATGGCAGACGCGAAAAATAATTTGACAGCCAGAGGTGTTGCCAGATCAGATTTTTGTTGTGATAGTGGGATATTTTTTTAAAAAAGGATATTTATTTTGGTATTTAAAAGGCGAATTTATAAGAAATGAGGCAAATTCAGTTAATTTCACAATTCAAAGGCGAACTAGTTAAAAGGTGAAAGGGTGAAGGTGAAAAGACAAATTTAATAAGATGCTAGCAATGAAGATGTAAAGAGAACAATTCATTTTTTTTTCATAGGGAATCTAGATATGTTTAAAGATTTATAACTAATCAAAACTAGGATATAACTGTTTGTTCATAGAACAAACAATACTCTAAGGGCGGGTTTCTTACTACTCAGTTAAACTAGGCTTAACTTGCTGTTAGATTAAACTCGAAACAAATTTAGGCGGACTTTAATCGATGATTGTGTTTTTCAGTTATGGATTTATGTTCAGTTAACTTTGTTAGTATTGCCAACTTTTCACTCAAAAACGTAAACAATGAACAGCTGTTTTTTGCAAATAATACTTTTGTAAAATGAAAAATTTTGGAAAATTGTTAAATAAACATTTAAAACAATAATAAATAAAACAAAACAAATCAGAATATTGCAATTTACTTAAAATATTAAGTTTTTGTTCTTCCGAAATCATTGTTTTATTGTTTTTGTTAATTGTGTCTTCTCACTTATAACTTAAGTTTAATTGGCCAATAATACTCAGTTAAACTAAGATAATAAGTAACGTTACTGTTTACTGAAAAACACAAAACATATATTAAACTAGGTTTAAACAAAGAATGTAGATTATCTTTATCTGAAAAACCCGCCCTAATTTAGTGAAATTCTACGTACTTCTCTTCATAATGAAGAATTGTCTAATCATTTGAATTTAGTCTGAACCACCTATACTTTTTTAATAGATAAATATGAAGAAAAAACAATTTTCATTTATTTAAAAACATTTTATTAAACTTTTTTTTTAAATTTTAACTCATAAAAAGTCTTAAAGTCTAAAATCTGTATTTACATTTAAGAAAATCCCATCTATTTCTTTTTATTTTTATCCTTTTTGGCAAATCTGGGACCACCAAAACTCTTGCCCTTGTTGAATTTATTCTTACCCGCCTTGTTAATCAATTTAACATTACTAGTCTTCTTTTTGGCCGAAATCTTAGACATTTTCTGATGACGATTAGCTTCCGAACGCAAACGTAAAGCTCCGCTGCGGCTAACATCGGTTAAATCATTAGTGAAAGCTGAATTACCGCCACGTCTGGGTTTATTTGTATTACCACCTTTCGAGAAGGAGGAGACATCCGAAACGGCTGACAGTTTACCAGGACGTTTACGCAATTTAGAAATTTTAGCTCTTACCAAAGAAACCTTTTCGATTTCTTTCATGGCTCTTTCTTTAGCCAACTGTTCGGGTGTTTTAACTCTTTTAGCCGCTTCTTCCTTCTTTTTCTTTTTGGCACTTAATTCCTTGACGGGGGGACCATCCTCACCATCACCACCATACTCAGGACGTTTACGTTTTTTATTTTTATCTTCCGACTTTTTAGTTTTAGGATCATCAGGGTTAAGTGACAGACGTTGTTTTTCTTCTTCACGTTGTTTTTTAGTTTGGAACCAATCACGATGTTCATTTTTAGCACCCAACAATTTACGTTCAGTTTTCGATAATTGTTGCTCCATTTTGGCTATTTGTCGTTCTGCCTGCTCTTCATCCAAAATGTTTTCTGTAAATACAATTATTAAAACTTGTGCCTATCAGTTAAAGAAAACAAAACTTACGTATTTCCGGTTCTAAGGCTGTTAATTTATTGCGATATTTTTCTATAATCTCGGGGGGAATAATACGATTCTTTACTGAACCCTCAGCATTCTTTATAATATCCTTAACAATCTTTCTTTCCTTTTCACCGGCCAACGACACCGATATACCAGCTCTGCCAGCACGAGCTGTACGACCCACACGATGTATATAATGTTCAGTGGTTATGGGCATAACAAAGTTAATAACTGTCTTAACACCCACAATATCCAAACCTCTGGCAGCTACATCGGTAGCTATGAGAACATCTATTTGCTCTTCCTTAAACTTTTTCAAAGATTCCAAACGTTGTTGTTGCGTTAGATTACCATGCAATTCACCAGCCTTAATGCCCAACAAACCCAAGAGTATGTGAAGGCGATGAGCTTGTTTCTTTGTCTGTACAAAGACCATGCAATGATCATGGAAAGTACGACATATTAAACTAGCCAAAATTGGTTCACGATCACCTTCTTTATCCTCACGAATACGTATAAATTCCTGACGCAAATTAAAGGCTACTTGCTGATTGTTATTAACGAAAACTTTGACGGGTTTATTAAGAGAAACGGCAGCTAAATCTTTAACTTGTTCACTCATGGTGGCCGAGAAAAGCATAGTCTGTCTGGTTTTCGAACAAGAATTAATAATTTCTTTCATTTGTTCGGCAAAGTATTCGTCCAACATACGATCGGCTTCATCGAGTATAAGAACCTGTTACAGGAGTTAATAGATTTCATGAATATTTTGTATTCTATTTGGAAGTTTTTAAATCTGGAACACGTTTTTTAATCAGGTTATATAGACCTCGCTATACAACAGTTTTATATGATTTCCTCTTGAATAAAGGAAAAGTAAAATTTTCCTAAATTTCAGAGCGCAAGGATTAGTCATCATTTTAGGGTTTATATTTTAATAATATTAGCCACTCAAAAATTTTAAACGATCTAGTTTTAACTGACTCGAGTCTATAGACCAGAATAGAGTCTATTCCATACATCAGACTAGAGTCCAGCATGTCCTATAGTTATGAATCAAACCATAACAAAATCGTTCCCATATTTTGGTGGTGAATATATAAAACATCCCACATTGCCGAATAAATAACTTATTCTTTTCATAAACTTACCTCAATTGAATCCAAACTAAAACTGGGTGTATTCTTAATATGATCAATCAAACGACCAGGTGTAGCAATAACAATATCAGGATTTTGACGTAAAACCATTTCTTGAGCCTTAACATCTAAACCACCAATGGCCAGACCCACATCAATAGTAGTAAATTGACACAGCTGTTTAGTGACCTGATAGACCTGAGCACCCAATTCACGAGTGGGTACTAAAACCAACACTCTGGTTACCGTTTTATTATTCATAGGACGATAAAGTAAACGTTCCACGGTAGGTAACATATAAGCAGCCGTTTTACCGGTACCCGTAGCAGCACAACCACAAATATCTCTACCCAAGAGAGCTATAGGTATTGTGGAGGCTTGAATGGGAGTGGGATAGATATAACCCAAAACTCCGATGGCTCTCATTAAAGGTCGGGAAAGATTCATTTGGTAGAAAGAAGTAATGGCTTCATTTGATTCAATGGCCTCATCGAATTGCATTTTTTCACCCTCTTCTTCGGATTCATCATCACTGCCTCCCTTGTTTTTCTTCTTTTTCTTGGACAATTTTTTCTCTCTCAAACGTAAATTGTCATGTTTCAATTCGTCCTCGGACAAATCAATTTCATCACCACTATCCTCATCTTTGGGATTAATAGCTTCACCACTCTCTCCCTCTCTTTGCTTAAGACGTGCTGCAATTTTATCATCGGTCTTTGTGCGTGCCTTACGCTTAACATATTTCATCAAATCATCCCAAGTGTCTTGATTGTATTCCTTCACGGAACTAACAAATTCGAAATTTTTTTCAAACTCGGTTACTTTTTTGTGTTTTAGTTTGGTGGGTTGATACTTTTTCAAGAAAATATAAGAAAATTTATAAATATTTTATAAAATACCAAAAACGAGGTTTCCACTTACCTCCACTTCTGCATCGGAATCTTCTGATAGATTTTCTACTTCCGCATCATCTTCTATAGTGGTAATTAAATCCATATTTCTGACCACTACCATTTTATTTTTCTTTTTTAATAGTTTTATTTATAATTTAATTTATATATCATATATTTTTTAAATAATTTTATCATAAAATTTTAAAGAATATCAAAAACACTTTAACACGTGAAGCAAGAAAGAAAAACAATTTGTTGACAGCTAAAGAGTTGCCACTACACGAAAGCTACACAAAACTTGGTAGCACTTTTTATTTAAACGCAAAGTAAAATCCCAGTATTCTTAATAAGGTGGCCAAACGAAAACAAAGAAAATTTATAAACAAAAATTATTTAAAAATAAACACGATTTTATATAAGAAATAAAAGTCGCGTACAAATTTATAATTATTTATGCCGAAACTAACTATAGTCTTTAAATAAAAACAGTTTTTCTTTTCACTGCTTACAAGAAACCTACATTTCTTGGTAAATTAGTTATTTTCCCAACTCTGCTGTCTTTGCTTATTGTATACACAAATACAACACTGACACCTGTACGGTACTCGGAATTATTGAGTACTCCTCAAAAAACTACGATTACTCTCACAACACTATTTAATATGCATCGGCTAAAAAAATTTGTTCAGAAAAAGCGCGTTAGTGCAAAAAATAATTAATTTTCCTTTAAAAACTCTGCAATTAATGAAGAAAAACTATTAAATTACTTTCTATAAAACATAAGTGAAGTTTTTAAAGTGTCAATTTATAGAAAAAATATAATTTTGAAAGGAAAAAATAGCTAACGCAAAGTTTCTGTAAAATTCCAAAACAACACACACACTTTGCTCGTTCGTTGTGAAAATAACTTGGTACAGCCTTTAGAAAAGTTTGTGTTTTGGGACATTAATGGAAAAAATGCGACAACAACTTTTCTAAAAAAGAACAAAAAAAGTGAAAATTCCCATAAACGACCAAAGTATAAAACTTGACCTTGTGTGTGGATATAAAAAAATGGAAGACATTGAATATCTGGAAGAGTACGAAGATTTAGTGTTACCTGGTAAATTATAATTATTGCAAATGCAATTAATTGCTTTGCTGCCTCTGCGTTCTGACTCGTATGTTAGTAATTTTGTGCTTTTTTCCTACTTCTTGTTTCCCTTTTTAAGCGTTAAATTCAGCGGCTGCAGCTGCGGCCGCCGCATCGTCGGCCTCCACTTCATCAAAATCGAATAATAACAATAATAAAAATTCACAAAATCCAAAAGCTAATAATGACGACGGTGATGATTCTTCATCATCTTTAGATCAGGATATATTTAATTGTTTATTCGATGATAATTCAGAAGATGATGAGGATGATTTGAATGATTATCAAAGAAGTGGTAAGTAAAAGATGTTTATGGGGCGAAAATACATATTGCTATGGGTAGGGCTGAATGAAGTGAACTTATAGGCCTCAACATACTATACTTATTGTCTTGTTAGAGACTGTTAGAGTTGGAGACTCTGAAAGAGACTGATTATAATTTGATTTTACACAATCTGAATCTGTTACTGGTTGGGACTTAAATCCCGATTTTTTTAATCTATTTTTTATTAAATGTTTTAATTTTTAGAAAAAATTTAATTTTGTACTAAGTTTGTGTTTTTAGGAAAAATTTGGAATTTCTTAAAGAAAACTCCCCATTATCCTCTAGAACTGAACTAGAACTGAACTAGAACTGAACTAGAACTGTACTAGAACTGAACTAGAACTGAACTAGAACTGAACTAGAACTGAACTAGAACTGAACTAGAACTGAACTAGAACTGAACTAGAACTGAACTAGAACTGAACTAGAACTGAACTAGAACTGAACTAGAACCGAAATAGAACTGAACTAGAACTGAACTAGAACTGAACTAGAACTGAACTAGAACTGAACTAGAACTGAACTAGAACTGAACTAGAACTGAACTAGAACTGAACTAGAACTGAACTAGAACTGAACTAGAACTGAACTAGAACTGAACTAGAACTGAACTAGAACTGAACTAGAACTGAACTAGAACTGAACTAGAACTGAACTAGAACTGAACTAGAACTGAACTAGAACTGAACTAGAACTGAACTAGAACTGAACTAGAACTGAACTAAAACTGAACTAGAACTGAACTAGAACTGAACTAGAACTGAACTAGAACTGAACTAGAACTGAACTAGAAATGAAATAGAACTGAACTAGAACTGAACTAGAACTGAACTAGAACCGAACTAGAACTGAACTAGAACTGAACTAGAACTGAACTAGAACTGAACTAGAACTGAACTAGAACTGAACTAGAACTGAACTAGAACTGAACTAGAACTGAACTAGAACTGAACTAGAACTGAACTAGAACTGAACTAGAACTGAACTAGAACTGAACTAGAACTGAACTAGAACTGAACTAGAACTGAACTAGAACTGAACTAGAACTGAACTAGAACTGAACTAGAACTGAACTAGAACTGAACTAGAACTGAACTAGAACTGAACTAGAACTGAACTAGAACTGAACTAGAACTGAACTAGAACTGAACTAGAACTGAACTAGAACTGAACTAGAACTGAACTAGAACTGAACTAGAACTGAACTAGAACTGAACTAGATCTGAACTAGAACTGAACTAGAACTGAACTAGAACTGAACTAGAACTGAACTAGAACTGAACTAGAACTGAACTAGGACTGATCTAGAACTGAACTAATACTGAAGTAAAATTTTAAATTCTAATAAAAATAGGTTTATTTAATTTTTAGTGAAATTTTTCATTTCGCATTTGGAAAATTTTTCTTTTTTTTTTGTTTCTTTATTTTTTATTTCATTTACTTTTATTTCTGATTCTTTTCGTCTAGAAAACGAAACTGCTTTAAGAAGAAATTCAGCATCTTTTGATTCCTATGACTCTTTAGATGATAAAATTGATGAACTAGGTATTAATATTAATACATATTTTAAAGTTTTTTTTTAACTTAATTATTAATAAATGTTAATTATATTTATATTCCAGGAGCAAAAATTATACAAAAAGTAGAAATATCAAGACAAGAAATCACAACTAATTTTAATACAGATGAGAAAACAGCTAATAAAAGTAAGTTTTTTTCGGTTAAAATGATTAAAACGATTTTAAAAAGTAAACTTTTACCGTTCTCTAGTAACTTCTTCAACACCCAAACCTAAAACTTTCCCAACAAAAACCAGTGGCGTTAATACGCAAACCACACCTAACCCTAGAACTCAAACAACACTTGCCAATAAACCCAAATCAATAGCTACTGTTAGACCAACAGTACAGAATCAACAACAGAATTTACAAAATAAAACAAATTTATTACAAAGAACAGCAGCAGCACGTTCAACTTCCTCTATATCAACAACCACATCATCATCCATAAGCCAACGACAAAAACCTACCACCTCCACCTCTTCTACATCAGCAGCAACATCTTCACGACCAGTGCAATTGCCAGCATTAGCACGTAAACCTTTAGCATCAGCAGCCAGCACATCAGGATCAGTTAAACAAGCTTCTTCCTCAAACAATCCTAAAGCTACAACCACAGTTGTAAAAAAGGTAACCAAACGTCCTGCTACTATAGTAAGACCTGAGAAGATTATTACAAAAGATCCTGCCAATGATCCTTTAGGTAAAGTTAAAAAAAAAACTTCTTTTTAAACAAATTTCTATTTATAATTACTTGAACTTTCTAGATCTAGACGATCTATCGGAAGCAGGCTCTGATAACTATTCTTTATCAGACATTTCTGGAGAAACTTATAATTCAATTAGTGAGTTTGATGATGATGATAGCAATGATGAATACTATTCCGGTGACGATTACTATGATGATGAAGACGATGAAGATGTCTTAAGTCATAGTTCACAAGTTATAGAATTATCTAATGATTCCAGTGGTACGACTTCTAATTTGGGTAAGTAACAAAAATGTATTTTATCGTATTTTGTAAAACATTTCGAAGCTAGGCTATAGACTAGACTATAGTCCAAACTATGGCCCAGACTACAGACTAGAGTCCAGACTATAAAGTAGAATATAGTCCAGACTATAGATTAGACTACAGTCCAGACTATGGACTATACTATAGTCTTAACTATAGACTATACTACAGTCCAGACTTTAGACTAGGCTATAGTCCAGACTTTAGACTTGTCTATAGACCAGACTATATGCTAAATTAGATTATAGACTAGAATTTTTTGAATTGTATTACAATTGTTAATGTGTTGTCTTGAGAATAAATTTGCGTAATTATAGATTTTGTTTCTTTAAAATCATTAACAATTGTAATGAAATTGTTGTTATTATTGATCGATGTTTATGTCCCACATCGATCAAATGTTTAGTTATTTATTTAAATAAAAAAAATCAAAAAATTTATAAACGTTTGACTTGTAAAACAAAAACATAAAATACAACACATATTTAGAAGATTATCGCGCCTCAACACCTTCACCCGTTATATCAGACGATAGTGCTACACCCAGCAGTTCTTCTGGTTTTAAACTACGCAAAACTAAAGCCATCAAGCCATACGAGCATCCACTAATAATCGAAAGTGTTTTAACAAAGGGAGAAAAACCAAAATTATTGGAACTCCTACAAACATACAATTTACTCGAAGATACTGGAGAAGAGGAAGAAGAAGTTAATATTGTTATTGATATAACAGCCTCCAGAGAAAATTTAGTAGATAGTTTTGAACAAGCACCCACCACCACGGCCACAACCACAACGAACCCGTCATTAACAAATCCAACTACACCAAAGCACTCCAATAAAACGAGTAAGTTGTTAAAGTTTGTTTGTTTTATACTGGAGTTATGCATTAATTATTAATCTTCTATTTTGTCTTTTATTAGATAAGAAAAGAACTAAAAAGAAAAGTGTTAAGAATATGGATTACAGAGGCATAAGTTCGCCCGGAGGTGCATCGACTGATTCGGATTTATCGGCGGTAGAAGAACTGCTGGAAGAATCGTATGCTGAGGCCATGAAACATAAAGTTAAATACAATCCAGAGATAACACTGGCAGATATTGAATTGGAAGGCGAAGAAGAGGTTACAGCGGAGGTGGAAATTATTCAAAAACAGGAGGAAAATAAATATAAATTAGCAAAAACTGGTGTTGTAATTGATTATGACGATAATGCTGTAGAGGAAGTTAGTGAAGATAAAGGAAGTAACGAAAAGCAACAGGAACAGAAAGTTAGGGAAGAAAGTGTCAGGGAAGCAAAGGAAGTGGAAAATAAGGAACAAGAGAAATTAACAAAAGAAACAAAGGAGTTGGAAGAGTCGAAAGAAATGGAAGTTAATAATGAAAAATTAACGGAAGGTGGTTTAGAAACTAAAGAAATACCAGCAACTGCTGCTGAACAGAGTGCTATTATAAGCGAATGCTTTTTGCCTGCAGAAACCCAAGATAGCCAGGAAGCTACAAATTTAAAACAAAATATCACGGACTCACCACAAACACGCAAAAAGAAACGTTTTAGAAATTTAAACACACCAGAAACCAATGAAGAAACGCCTGCACCATTGCTTAGCTTAGATGATGTAGATGATTTTAAAGGCTTTGAAGAGCAACCCACTACTACGGATAACAAAACTGATTTGGAAACAAAAGTCCTGGAGACACCCAAAAAATCTTCAAACACTAGTTCTGTAACAGAAAAAGCTTCTAGCTCCTCCTCAGCTTCATTTAAAAGTCCTACAAATTCTCATAAATCTTTAAAGGATAAAACAAAAGAATCTAGTGAAAAAAGCTCCCGCGATAAAGATACAAAAGATAAAAGTTCCAAACATTCTTCAAGTAAAAGTTCTCGAGACAATTCAAAAGATAAAAGTTCAAGGGAAAGTTCTCGTGATAAAAGTTCACGAGAAAGTTCTAAAGATCGTTCACGCGAAAGCTCTAAAGATCGTTCTAGACATAGTCATGATAAGGAAAGCAAACGTCATCATCATCATAAGGAACATAGAAGATCTAGTGATTCTAAGGATCATAGAAAATCTAGTGATTCTAAAGAATCTTCTAAATCTCGAGAATCTAGCAAATCTAGAGAGCACAAAGAAACAAAAGACACCCACAAAAGTTCAAGTGCTAAAAGAGAACACTCAACAGAGGGAGGGAAAGAAAAGACAAAGGAAAAACAGGATATAAAAGAAACAAAACCTATAAAAACAGAAACAAAAGATTCTAGTAAAAGTTCTGACATTAAAAAAGAAAACTCACAGGAGGGAACGAAAGAAAAGTCTGCAGAAAAGAAGGATATAAAACCGAAAGAAGTGGAAAATGATACAGCTAAAACCAGTAACGACAGCAAGATTCCCAAAGATTCAGATAATAATAAGAAGGAGTCCAAAGATCTCAACAAAACTTTGGAGAAAAAGGATATGGAAAAACCTAAAGAAAAAGTAGCTGAAAAATCCCTTAATACAGCTAAGGATAAAACCAAAGATCCTCCTGCTAAAACAACAACATCTTCAAGCAAAATTACAACTACTTCTTCAACCCCTACTAGTTCACGTGATTCTTCAAAAGAACGTAAAAATTTGAGTAAAACACCCAATTTAAATAAAAGTAGCTCGAGTAGCAGTATTAGTAGTAATAAAACTGATAAGTCTGATTTCTCTAAGAAACCTAAACCTACCGCAGATCTAAATAAATCTTTAAATACTAAAACTGATACAAATAAACCCAATAATCCTACTACAACAACGGCAAATAAATCTACAACCAAGACTGCTTCCCCCGTTAAAGTGTCTAATACAAATGAAAAACCAAAAGTTGAAACTAAAACTTTGTCAGAACAAAAGGAGGGAACTAATACAAAGGAGTTGCCGAAATCTAAGGAATCGGTTAAAGAACAAACATCGGCTATCTCTGCTAAAGAACAGAAATCAGATAAATCTGAAACTAAAACGACGACTGAAACAACTAAAGTTGCAACACAGAATCCAGTTGTTGCTAAAACTCCTAAAGTTGATTTAAATACTTCAAAGACTTCATCAACTGCTGCCTCATCCTCTAAAACTAATACTACTGAAGGACCTAAAAAGGATTCCAGTTCTGACTCTAAAAAAACTAGTGCTGAGACCAACAAAGAGAAAAAAGACTCAAATCAAGCACCATCCAAAGCAGTGGAAGTTAAAAATACTGACAAACCTACTGCTGAGGAAAGCAAAACAACTAAAGAGAAAAAAGAAGATCCTCCTGCAACTAAAGATACTAAAAATACCAACAACCAAACGCCTTTAAAAACAACATCTAAAGAAACTATTGTTACACAAACCAGCAACAAACAAACTCCACTTAAAACGCCGGCTAAAGGAACCAGTATTTCGGGAACCAATACAAAAAACACAGAAACAAAACCTCAAACTTCTGGAATATCGAAAACGCCCATAAAAACACCAGCTAAAGAAACTTCTGTTACACAAACCAGTAATAAACAAACTCCAATTAAAACACCTGCTAAAGGAATTTCGGGCAGCAATACAAAATCCACTGAAACAAAACCTCAAGCTACTGGAAAACCAGAAACTAAGGAAACTAAAGATGTCAATGCTTCGAATGCGGGAAAACCCGAGGATCTCAAAGCTCAAGAAAAGTCGGCAGATTTCAAGAAACCAATACAAAGTTCCAAGAATACTACAGCCACGGAACAAGCAAAAAGTTCGGAAGCTAAGACTAAGGATAATAAAAGCATACCAATGTCACCGAAAGCAAAACCTAAACTGAACCAGGTACAGACACAGAAAACTAAATTAGATGCAACAACAAATAAAAAAGTTGAAACTACAACTGAAAAAGAAAAGCAGGAAGTGGTTAACAAACAGCAAGCTACTAAGACCATCAGTAATGTAAAGTCCGAGAAGCCTAAAGATATAAAAACAATAGAAACTATAACTCCACAAAATCCTAAAACGGAAACTAGCAAAACAAAAGATGCTACAGTTACTGAGAGTACAAGTCAGCCACTAAAGAAATCTCAAAGTGAAAAGGAGATAAAAATGATGACAAGAACTAATACAGACACTTCTAAAGATACTAATAAAGAGATCTCAGTTCCCGAAACTAAAGAAGCAGTCCCACAAGAGACCCCCAGCTCTTCTGCTAAGCAGCCTCTTAAAGAAACTGCAGCAACTAAAACCGATCTAAAAGAGACTGAAAAGGCAACAGACAAAAAACAAGCCATACAATCAAAGACAGACGAATCAAAGGCAGACAAAACTAAACTTCCACAAAATACCAATAAAGAGCAAACGGAAAAAGAGCAGAAAGTTAATGTTAAAGAAACAACTCAAAGCAAACAAAGTATAAATCCCAATGATTCAAAAACTGCAGCAAAAACTCAAACTCCACAAAGCACAAATAAAGATGCAAAACCAATAGCAAAAGATAAACCTACAAATACAAACATAAAATCCACACAATCTCCCAAACCCACTAAAAAAGTCATAAAAGTTGTGAGTAAAACTGTAGAAAATAAAACGCCGCAGATTACAAAGGCCTCCAACATGAAAAAGGAAGATGTTAAGGCTGAAAAAGAAACAAAGGATTCAAAAGAGTCAACAGAAAATGCAAAAGAAGTCACCAGCAAAGATCAGAAAATGGAAGATTCTAACATCAAGGAAGCAACAATAAAAGATGGTCAAAAGGAGGTGGCTACAACCAAGAATGAAGCAAATATAAAAGAGGAAACAATTGGAAAAGTTAAGGAGGCGACAAAGCTCCAGGATGCCATAATAAAAGAGACTGAGACTGCAACAAAGATAGAAGAAAAGGATGTTAAAGATACCAAGGAAACTAAAGTAACTTCAGATGTTTCTTCAACTAAAGAAGTAACAAAAGTTGAATTATCTAAAAAAGAAACAAAAGTTGAATCATCTAAAGAACAAACAAACTCTGAACAAGCTAATGATACTAAACAATCCGTAACGGACACAACAGAAGAAGATAAGAGTGAAGTGGCAATTACACCAAGAATAACTAGAAGTCGTTTGGAAAATATCAAATCAAATGAAGAATCTAAGGAGGGAAAAACTGAAAGAACACAATCACCAAAAGCTAAAAAATCTAGTGAATCTCAAGCAGAAAAATTGGAGAAAAGCAAAGTTGAGAAAACAACTAGTGAAGAAGAGAATTTGCAAAAACTAGAAACAAAAAAGAAGGTGGGATTGAAAGAAGTTGTTAAAACTGAAAGTAAAACTAAAGAGAAAGAAACTGCGGAAAAGTCTCAAAAAACTGAAGAACTTGAGGATAAAACTTTAAAAACTGAAACTACAAAAGAGGAGAAGCTAGAGAAGGAACATGTGGATAAAGCACAAGTTAAAGAAGAGAATAAAACTTCAAAGGCTAAAGCTACAAAACAGGAAGAGGAGGAGCAAAAGTCAACCAGTGAAGTTTTAGAAAGTGAAAAGGAAGAGAAGCACTTTGAACCAAGAAAAACTAGAAGCCATGGTGAACAGAAAACTGAGGTAGACAAAGAAAAAACTGAATCATCCGCCTCAAAGGAAGATTTAACCAAACAAAAGGAAGATAAAGATCATGTTAAACCTAGAATAACCAGAAGTCGTGCAGAACCTAAACAAGAAGATGAAGCGACACAACTTCAAATCGACGAAAAAAGTTTAGATAAAGAGAAAAAAGACTCAAAGGAAACAACTCAACAATCTGAAGAAAAATTGACAAAACAAAAGGATTCTGATAATCAAGTGGAAGAAGAAAAGTCTGAGACAAGAACAACTAGAAAACGAGGAGAACTTAAAGCTGAATTGGGAAAAGATACTAAGGAGACTGAAGCTAAAATTACAGAAGAAACAAGTGCAACACTAGATGATTCTAAAACTCAAACGGATGAAGGAAAATTAGAGACAAGAACTACAAGAAAACATACTGAATTAAAGAAAGAAACAAAGGAAACGCAAGCTGAAGTTACAGAAGAAAATGATGCAACACTTGATGAGACAAAAACACAAACGGATGAAGAACAATTTGAACCGAGAAAAACTAGGAAACGTGGTGAAGTTAAAGCTGAATTAGAAAAAGAAACAAATGCAACTCCAGCTGAAATTATAGAAGAAAAGGCAGCAACACTAGATGAATCAAAAACACAAACAGATGAAGAACAGTTGGAACCCAGAAAAACTAGAAAGCGTGGAGAACTTAAAGAAACAAAGGAACAAACACAAGCTGAACTATCGGATGAAAAAGGTGCAACACTCGATAAAACACAAACGGAGGAAGATATTAATGAATCCAAAAAGACTAGAAAGGGGGGTGAACTTAAAGAAACAAAGGAACAACCACAAGCTGAACTATCTCAAGAAAAAGGTGCAACACAAGAAAAAACTCAAATAGAGGAAGAACTAAGCGAACCCAGGAAAACTAGAAAACGGGGAGCACATAAAGAAACAAATGAAGAGTCTCAAACTGAAGATGAAGAACATTTGGAACCCCGTAAAACTAGAAAACGAGTAGAGCATAATGAAACAAAGAACATAACACAAAGTGAAGTTTCCAAAGAAAAAATTTCATCTCAAGATGATAGTAAAATACTCACAGATGAAGAACATTTTGAGCCGAGAACCACTAGGAAACGTGTGGCCCAAAAAGATGAACAAGTCAAAGAAACAACTAAAACAACACAAATTGAATCTTCTGAGGAGAAATTATCACAGCAAGAACAAACCAAAGAGGAAACTCTTGAACCTAGAAAAACAAGAAGTCGTGCTGAAATTAAAGAAACAGCAGAGAAAGAAACAACTGCTGAAGTTAAAGAACAAGCTGAAAATAAAACAACTGAAAAGATTGCAGCAGCAATACAAGAAGAGAAAGATAATTCTGCAAAACAAACAGAAAAACCAACAAACCATGATGATAATAAAACACAAACAGATGAAGAACATGCCGAACCGAGAAAAACTAGGAGTCGTGCAGATATTAAAGCAACTCAAGCTGTAAACCCAGAAAATGAACTTAAAGAAGGAAAAGAAACAACAAAAATATCTTCGGTTGAACCGTCTACGGAAAAAACTTCAACACAAGATGCGGCAAAACCAGAAAAAGATACCCCAGAAACTTCTACTGTTGAATCGAGTTCAACACTAGAGGATTCAAAACTTTCCACAGAAGAGCAAGATAAAAAGCCCTCGAATACCAAAAAACGTACAGAAATTAAACAAAAACTCTCAAATGCCGATGAAAAAACTGAAATATCTCAATCAGAGGACATAACCTCTAACGTCGACAAAAAACCTGCCGAAGAATCGCAATTGGAAAATGAAGACGTGATCGCAGAACAAGCAGAGTCTTCAATGTTTGATACACTCTCAAAATCCCAACAAGACAGTATCAGTTTAGATGCTGATATGTCTGGCAGTGAATGCTCCTCTATCACATCATCCAACTCGGACAATACAATACGACGAACTTTAAGAAAACGGGCAACGGAAACGCCATTATCGGAAAATGGTGAAGATTTAATTAGTTGTATAATTATATTAACAGAAAGTAATATTATATTTGTTTTCTTACATTTACAGATAAAAAGAAGAAACTTTTTAAAGAGCCACCACCATTGAAGACTACACCAACACCAGTGGCAGCGCAAAAGATTGGTAAATTTGATAAGCCTACGGTTATAGGAAGTACTACTATAAAACGGGTTTTACGTTCACCAGCCTTGGAGGAGAATCAAAGTTCTGGCAAAAAACCAAAATTGGATAATACATCAAAGAAATCAAGTAAGTAACTAGAACTGAATTAGAAGTGAACTAGAACTGAACTAGAAATGAACTAGAAATGAACTAGAACTGAACTAGAACTGAACTAGAACTGAACTAGAACTGAACTAGAACTGAACTAGAACTGAACTAGAACTGAACTAGAACTGAACTAGAACTGAACTAGAACTGAACTAGAACTGAACTAGAACTGAACTAGAACTGAACTAGAACTGAACTAGAACTGAACTAGAACTGAACTAGAACTGAACTAGAACTGAACTAGAACTGAACTAGAAATGAACTAGGACAGAACTAGAACTAGAACTGAACTAGAACTGAACTAGAACTGAACTAGAACTGAACTAGAACTGAACTAGAACTGAACTAGAACTGAACTAGAACTGAACTAGAACTGAACTTGAACTGAACTAGAACTGAACTAGAACTGAACTAGAACTGAACTAGAACTGAACTAGAACTGAACTAGAACTGAATTAGAACTGAACTAGAACTGAACTCGAACTGAACTAGAACTGAACTAGAACTGAACTAGAACTGAACTAGAACTGAACTAGAACTGAACTAGAACTGAACTAGAACTGAACTAGAACTGAACTAGAACTGAACTAGAACTGAACTAGAACTGAACTAGAACTGAACTAGAACTGAACTAGAACTGAACTAGAACTGAACTAGAACTGAACTAGAACTGAACTAGAACTAAACTAGAACTGAACTAAAACTGAACTACTTAACTGGAACAAGAACCGTTCTCTCTAAACTATTTTTTTTTAATTTATTCGTATTTCATTTATAATTTCAGCACGTTTTCGTAATTTAAATGACGATTGTCTGGTAGAAGAAGAGTTGCCCGTTGTTACAGCGGATGTTGTTACAAAAGAACAGGATTATTTGCATGAGCCACAAGAAGTACCAGCAACAAAACAACAACTGCCTGAAACTTCACAAAACAAAAATACTGAATCAAGCAAGGAGCCCTTAAATAATACTGGCGTCCAAGAGAAAAATACAGAAGAGAAACCAAGAAATGCTAAAGGAAAATTCGCACCGATAAAAGAGCCTGAAAAAGTACTTCAGAAGGAAGTATTGGGCTCTAAACAAACAACAAAAACTACTAATAAAGTAGCTTTACAAGTAATAAAACAACAATCAGTTAATAAAGATCCTTTGAGCATAAAGTCGAATGTAAACATCAAGAAAAGTTTACCCACAGAAGCTAAAGCAGTCATTTCAAATGTCTCCAAAGTACAAGAGACACCGGAACGTGTTAAAGGTAATAAAACAAACATTAATGTTTCACCTACTAAAACTCCTGGAGGCGGCTCTACTACGGTGTTAACGGATAAAACTAAAACTATTAAGGGAAAAGTTAATGTTTCCCCTACCAAATCACCAGGCTCTTCTGCGGTGATGTCATTTTCAGATTGGCTAAAAAGTAAGAAACAAAATGTGGAAGTTGAATCAACAGAGACTACTAGCACTACAAAAGATACGACACAAGCAACATCTGTCAACCCAATTAAAGTAAAAGATAAGCCAGTAACAAAAACATCAGAAATAAAGCCTACTGAAGATAAAGACGAAAAGGAAGAAGTAGCTGAGATTACGACAAAGGAAGACAACAATATGATGTGTCAGAATAAGGAAAAAGAATTGCAGCCGGCAGCAAGACGTCCAGGGCGTCCACCTAAAGTCAAGCCAGCAGCGAAAATCTCGGAAACAAAACCAGCAGAAGACAAAGACAAAACGCTAGAAATGGCTGACACCACAACACAAGCAGACAACAAAATATTAAGCCAAATTAAGGAAAAAGACTTGCAGTCAACTGTGCAACCTCAGCAGGATTCTAAAGCTACAGATGACAAAGAAACTTCGGAAAATATAACGGATACCACACAACAGTTGGATAATAGTTTATTACAACCTTCGGATAATCAGTTGCAAAATGTGTTACAGCAGCAGAGCAGAAAAAGTAGTAGTAAAAAAGCTGTAAAACGGCTTTCTAACTCGATTAGAAAATCTACCCAAAAACGAGCCAGTCCAATAGTAATGGGAAAATCAAATACTCCCAAGGTCAGTCCACCCAAATTGAAACCTAAAAAACGAGAAATTGACTTGCTTATAGAGTCCATGTCTAAGGAAATGAAAGAGGGTGGCATAAATGATCTTCTAAACACACCCACACATGTTAAGCGTCAACGCTTATCAGTCAAAAGAAATGTAAATGACAGTATGGAACAATTAAATACCAGCCAAGAGCCATCTATGGCAAATGTCACGGCTGAAATACCCAAAGTTATGGAATTTTCCGAAAATTCAGACACCTCAACAACCACTAACACGCCTACAACTAAAGACATAAACAAATCGCCCACAAAACGTAAGACTCAGCAAATTGCTGCTAAAACTAAAAGATCCTCTTTACTACCCAGAGATATGCTTAAAACTCCTGACATTATGGCAAATACAGAACAAAGAATGTTCTCAACTCCTCCATCCAAAGTATTGTCTACCAAATCACGCAAATCTCTAAACATTAAAGAGTTAGCTGGAACCGAAGCGGCAAAAACCACTGAAATTGTTGCTGCTACTGAAAGCGTAGCAAAATCTAGAAAATCTATGCCTCTTCTCACTCCAAAAGATTCCATGGATAAAGTTGTTATAGCTTCTGCTAGAAAATCTTTAGTAATACCTAAACAACAGCCCGCTATACAAGCAAGTAATGTTGTATTTAAAACACCTAAACAACCGGCGGCAGGACATCCTTCAACTTTACTAAATCTAATACCAAGTGCTGATAATATAAAGAAATTATATGTTGATGATCATAATAAACGTCTTAAGGTAAGTTTTTATAAAGTTTGTATTCCCTCTATTTGAACTAACTTTAACTAACTTTATCTTGCAGATAACTCCCACAGCAAGTACTTTAAAAACTTACAAATGCCGTAAGCTAAGAGTTCGTCTTAATCGTTCCATGGTAAAGAAATATTTCAATGCTTTGAATAAGAATAAAAAGCAAGGTGCTGAAGGTAATTATATATTTTTACTTACTGCTCTTTATAGAATTTCAAATATTAACATTCTAAATTTTATTTTTTTATTTTTATTTTTAGTGCCCGTAGCAACAACCACAAAAGAGTCTTTACCAGTTATACAAAATAATTCTGAAACTAATTTACGTATACAATCGGTAGTTGACGCCGGCACCCTACTAAGTGCAACACCAACTTCCTCTACGGCGGATGTACACGGTAATATTTACTTTTTTTACATATATTTCTACTCATTCCAAGGTTATTTTCTGAAGAAAACTATCCCACGAGTTTCTAGAATAATATTGAATTTCTAGAACTAACTGAACTAGAACTGAACTAGAACTGAACTAACTAGAACTGAAACTAGAACTGAACTAGAACTGAACTAGAACTGAACTAGAACTGAACTAGACTGAACTAGCAACTGAACTAGAACCTGAACTAGAACTGAACTAGAACTGAACTAGAACTGAACTAGAACTGAACTAGAACTGAACTAGACTGAACTAGAACTGAACTAGAACTGAAACTAGAACTGAACTAGAACTGAACTAGAACTGAACTAGAACTGAACTAGAGACTGAACTAGAACTGGAACTAGAACTGAACTAGAACTGAACTAGAACTGAACTAGAACTGAACTAGAACTGAACTAGAACTGACTAGAACTTGAACTAGAACTGAACTAGAACTGAACTAGAATGAAACTAGAACTGAACTAGAATTGAACAAGAACTGAACTAGAACTGAACTAGAACTGAACTAGAATGAACTAGAAATGAACGAAACTAGAACTGAACTAGAACTGAACTAGAACTGAACTAGAACTGAACTAGAACTGAACTAGAACTGACTAGAACTGAACTAGAACTGAACTAGAACTGAACTAGAACTGAACTAGAACTGAACTAGAACTGAACTAGAACTGAACTAGAACTGAACTAGAACTAAACTAGAACTGAACTAGAACTGAACTAGAACTTGAACTAGAATTGAACTAGAACTGAACTAGACTGAACTAGAACTGAACTAGAACTGAACTAGAACTGAACTAGAAACTGAACTAGAACTGAACTAGAACTGAACTAGAAACTGAACTAGAACTGAACTAGAACTGAACTAGAACTGAACTAGAACTGAACTAGAACTGAACTAGAACTGAACTAGAACTGAACTAGAAACTGAACTAGAACTGAACTAGAACTGAACTAGAATTGAACTAGAACTGAACTAGAACTGAACTAGAACTGAACTAGAACTGAACTAGAACTGAACTAGAACTAGAACTAGAACTAGAACTGAACTAGAACTGAACTAGAACTAGAACTGAACTAGAACTGAACTAGAACTGAACTAGAACTGAACTAGAACTGAACTAGAACTGAACTGAACTAGAACTGAACTAGAACTGAACTAGAACTGAACTAGAACTGAACTAGAACTGAACTAGAACTGAACTAGAACTGAACTAGAATTGAACAAGAACTGAACTAGAACTGAACTAGAACTGAACTAGAACTGAACTAGAACTGAACTAGAACTGAACTAGAACTGAACTAGAACTGAACTAGAACTGAACTAGAACTGAACTAGAACTGAACTAGAACTGAACTAGAACTGAACTAGAACTGAACTAGAACTGAACTAGAACTGATCTAGAACTGAACTAGAACTGAACTAGAACTGAACTAGAACTGAACTAGAACTGAACTAGAACTGAACTAGAACTGAACTAGAACTGAACTAAAACTGAACTAGAACTGAACTAGAACTGAACTAGAATTGAACTAGAACTGAACTAAAACTGAACTAGAACTAAACTAGAACTAAACTAGAACTGAACTAGAACTGAACTAGAACTGAACTAGAATTGAACTAGAACTGAACTAGAACTGAACTAGAACTGAACTAGAACTGAACTAGATTAGAATCAGAACTGAACTAGAACTGAACTAGAACTAAAGTAGGTCCTAAACTATAACAGAAATTTATATTTTTAAGGAGTAATCTATTTAAAATTTAATTCTAAAATAATTTTTTTTAATAAATTTTACAATTTAATTTCAGAACCAGCAGCACTTATTGATCAAACTCAACCGCATATGATACCCAATACAAACACCCTGCTAACACCTATGCCAGTCATTGAACCGGTACAACAACCATATATCTTACCGACCACCACCCGCGCGCCATCCACAGTGGCTCCCTTAACTACCACAACCCTAATAAATGTTCCTGACACAAATGAAACTATTGAGCTTAAAAATGAATTTGTAGATGAAAATCCCATGGGATTAATAAATGACGCCATACTACCCGATACACCAACACTATTGGCCCGTGCTCAAACTATAACAGAAGCAGCTCAACATGCTCTCTCCAGTTCTGTTACACCCACAGATATACGTCTATTGACTACAGACTCTAGCAGCAGCAACTATGTGCCGTCGTTTGGAGTAACACCCACGGCTTTGGATAATAGAGGCACCTGTATGTACACTTTCTTGCATCCTGCCAAATATAATCGTAATCACAGCAATGTTTTGCTGGACTATTGTTGTCCAAATTTGGATGGTCCTATGCCGGCCATTGATCCGACACGCATACATGCTCAGGTGCAAGTGCCGATTATAGAATTACCCGCCTCTATAGTTTTGACAACTAAGGTGGTAACGAGAGCCGATTTGGAAAGTGGCAATAGCTCTATACCGGCTATTATACGTAAAAAGGCCGAAAAAATAAGAAAAAATCTTGCTACACATCATAAAATGGCCACGGCTGCCACGACAATAACAGCACCGCCGCCTGCGGTAATACCCACAATGGCACCAACACCCCGACCAGCCTTAACAGCCACCATAAATGCTTTGACCAAACAATTACCACCCACCACAACTATAACGGCGAAAATAAGACACTCACTACCGGCGGAATCACAAATTTTGCCTACCCAGCCACCAGCTCCAACACCGCAAGCAGCACCCTCAGCAGCTACGCTTCCGAGAAACATAATTTCTATTATGCCCAAAGGAGCCGGACATATGACTGCAATGAGTAATGTGCAAAATTCTTCATTACGCTGCAATTTAAGACGCTTTGATGTGCTACTTAAACAGTTGGTACAACCTTTTGAAAGTTTAAGTTTTGTGGATCGACATCGTATAATAGAAGCTTTAATAGGAACAGGCAAGTTTAGCGCTAAAGATTTGGATCAAACGTTAGTGTTAATGGAAGAGTACATAAAACAAACCCTGCTATTGCAAAATGAAACGCTTGATCATCCCACGCAACCACCCACTTCAGCAATTTTAAATACAAACAGTTATATAACAACACAACCAGCTATTGCGGCCGCCAACACCTTGTCCGCCGGGCCCATGCCCCAGCTGCAACCCTCACCCACTATATTGGCTTCCAGTCAACACCATAAAGCGGTGAGAAAAGTACAAACGAGTCGTAATAGAAATACCACATTAACTACAACCGCAACATCAGCAGCAGGAGCTGGTGCTGGAAGTTCTGTTATGGTCAAACAACGTCAAGTGCCTATCTACGATACAGATCGTAATATCATAGGCTATCAAATGCAAATGATGACACCTCTATCAACAATACCAGCTTATACCAAGTCTACCATGTCTACACATACCGGTGCCATAATGTCCACATCCATGGACTCTAGCAATAATAAGATAACCACCACAACGTACAGTGTGAATAAACGACCCATAAAAAGACCGGCACAGGAATCACCGCGTGTCTTTTATACAACCCCGCCTTTGAAAACTTCCACACCGAAAGCCTTAACAAATCCTCATCAGTACCCAACAGCAGCGACTTCAACACAACATGGAAAGAATACCAACACCATAGCGAAGAAAACTCAGGTAAAGGAGTCGAAGAAGTAAGAGAGTTGTTTACTTAGATACATTTTATGCAGTTGCCAACAAAATATTTTAGAACTGTACAAGAACTGAACTAGAACTGACTGTAACTACACTCGAACTAAACTAGAACTGACCTAGAACGAGAACTTAAACAGAACTAGACTATAGTGGGACTACGACAAATCTTTAGATGGAGTTTTATAAAAAAAATTTAAATTTTTAAAATTTTAATAAAAATATTTTCAAAAACTTACCTCATTAGGGTTCCATAGTAACAACTGTACGTTCTGGAGGCTCGTCTGCAAGTGGTAGTTCAGAGACCATAACCACTACCACAATGGCCACAGTGAAACGTGTTACACGCAGTACTGCTACCGGTTCAAAAATCATTATAGTCTCCAAATCGAATCAATCCAGTGAAGAAACCATACTGCCCGACAGTAACAATCAACAGCTGCCGACAGAGCCGCATGCTGAAATTAAAAATGAAGATGATATTGAAGATTACCTAGCCTGACATGAGGTGAAAAAAAGATAAAATTGCTGCAGAAACATGCGTTTAAATACTATTATCTAAAGTAATGAAAAAACTTTTGTTAAATGTATTAAAACACATAATGTCATTTAAATCAGTGGTAGCCGATCCCAATTAATAGGAGCCGAAATCGAGATCCCCCCCCGTGACCTTTCAATTTTTTTGGGAAACATATTCTGCGCTACATTATCTGTACAGAGCCGATCACACTGCTTCAATTTAAAATGTCTTTTATAAATAGATTTTAATTTAAAAAAAGTCTAAGTTTGCATATTTTATCATTTAAAATTAACTAAATTAAAGAAAACATATTATTTTTTTATTAAATTTATTTTTAGTTTTATATCAAGACTAATAATCATTTTTGAATATTTTTTTATTAATTTCTCTCTAACAAAAAAAGAAAACACAACCAACTGTTAATTACAGAAATAATGTATATAATATAACAAAATAAATACGTGTACAATTAATTAATTTTTAATAATTAATAACTCTATACATATAAAACATAAGTTTAGCATTTAAGTTTTTCGTTATATTGGTTACAAAAATTGCTTATTTTTATATAAAATAATTCTTTAACAAAAAAAAAAAAACTCCAAAAAACTACACAACTTCAAAATGAATTTGAAAATAAAAACAATTTTAATAAAATTTATGTGAAAACTACATGTTGATTAATTCTTTGTTTCATTGCAGTGAAATGGGAGTAAAAACAAATTAAATATTTCATTACTGTGGCCTTTAAAAGTGGCTGATGGGAAAAGGGTTTATGTGTGAGAAATTGCCGCTAGCAGTTCTAGTTCAGTTCTAATGCAATTCAGTTTAGTTCTAGTTCAGTTCTAATTCAGCTCTAGTTCAATTTTAGTTCTGGTTCAATTCTAGTTCAGTTCTGGTTAAGATCTAGTTCAGTTCCAGTACAGTTCTATTTCAGTTCTAGTTCAGTTCAGCATTAGTTCAGTTCTAGATCAGTTCTGGTTCAGTTCTAGTTCAGTTCTAGTTTAGTTCAGTTCTAGTCCAGTTCAAGTCTAGTTCAAGTCTAGTTCAGTTCTAGTTCAGTTCTAGTTCTGTTCTAGTTCAGTTCAGTTCTAATTCAGTTCTAGTTCAGTGCTAGTTCAGTTCTAGTTCAGTTCTAGTTCAGTTCTGGTTCAGTTCTAGTTCAGTTCTGGTTCAGTGCTAGTTCAGTTCTAGTTCAGTTCTGGTTCAGTTCTAGTTCAGTTCTGGTTCAGTGCTAGTTCAGTTCTAGTTCAGTTCTGTTCTGGTTCAGTTCTAGTCCAGTTCTGGTTCAGTTCTAGTTCAGTTCTAGTTCAAGTCTAGTTCAGTTCTAGTTCAGTTCTAGTTCAGTTCTAGTTCAGTTCTAGTTCAGTTCTAGTTCTGTTCTAGTTCAGTCCTAGTTCAGTTCTAGTTCAGTTCTAGTTCAGTTCTAGTTCAGTTCTAGTTCAGTTCTAGTTCAGTTCTAGTTCAGTTCTAGTTCAGTTCTAGTTCAGTTCTAGTTCAGTTCTAGTTCAGTTCTAGTTCAGTTCTAGTTCAGTTCTAGTTCAGTTCTAGTTCAGTTCAAGTTCAGTTCTAGTTCAGTTCTAGTTCAGTTCTAGTTCAGTTCTAGTTCAGATCTAGTTCAGTTCTAGTTCAGTTCTAGTTCAGTTCTAGTACAGTTCTAGTTCAGTTCTAGTTCAGTTCTAGTTCAGTTCTAGTTCTGTTCTAGTTCTGTTCTAGTTCAGTTCTAGTTCAGTTCTAGTTCAGTTCTAGTTCAGTTCTAGTTCAGTTCTAGTTCAGTTCTAGTTCAGTTCTAGTTCAGTTCTAGTTCAGTTATAGTTCAGTTATAGTTCAGTTCTAGTTCAGTTCTGGTTCAATTCTAGTTCAATTCTAGTTCAGTTCTAGTTCAGTTCTAGTTCAATTATAGTTCAATTCTAGTTCAGTTCTAGTTCAGTTCTAGTTCAGTTATAGTTCCGTTCTAATCCGCTCAGTTCTAAGTTAAGTCTAGTTCAGTTCGAGTACTATTCCAATTCATGTCCACTTTTAGTATGATTCTTGTTTAGTTCTATTCGATTTTAGTTAAAGTTTCTTCTCTCATTTAACGGTTATTAAAAAGTTACCACCATTTATATATGACATATACCGGAGCTCATGATTTTTTACACCTATTTTCCGTTAGAAATATGGCAACATAGATATCACGCCACCAGCACAATTTGACAACTAGGCTGTATAGAAAGAGTGAACAAAAAGAAACAAGAAAAAAGGAAACTTCAAAAAGAAGCAACAACAACAATGAAAAAACTAGTTCTCCACGTGAGATTTTCAGCTTGTTTAAGAAAATGTAATAAATAGAGAGCAACAAGAGGGGTAAACAAAACTTAAAATAAATGAGATGATGTTTTATGCAAATTAGACGTCATCAAAAAAGAAAGATGAAAATTACAACAGCAATAAGTATCTGAAGTGTAATATAAATAAAAAGTAAATATTAATTAAAAAGAAAACAATAAACTTATTAAAAAAGTGTTTATTAATTAGGAAATTAAAAAAATATTACGGTATTTTTAAGGAAAATAACAAACAAGCATAAAAATGCAATTAGAAAAGAGGGTATAAAAAAGTAAATAACTAGAGAGCTTTTTAAAGAGTAATTTTTTTTTTTGTATTTGTGTGAGAGAGTGTATGTGTAAGTGCTAATGTATGGCAATGCTGTGTGTTGTCTTATGATTAATTTTTATACTGTTGGAAATATCTTTAAAGTTAAATGTGATTTGAGTGCGTTCGTGTTCACAAATCGATGCGGGCGCTTTAAAATTAAAATAAATTATTTATATTAAAACAACAATAAGTTATTATTATAAAAGAAAATATAAGAAATTTGCTTTTGTTTAAAAAAAATTAAATATTTTACTCAAAAGTGTTAAGTTTAACAATAAGAAAAGTTTTTATTTGAAGAAAAAAAGTAAAACAGGTAAAATAAATTTGTTGAAAAAAAGTGCAATAAGAAAAAAAAAAAAAAAATGTGAAAGTTAAACGATTTTTTTTGCGAAAGAGGAGAAATAAAATAAGACCAAATAATACAAGTTTGTGGTGAAAAAATAAGTAGAGAAAAGCATTTATCTAAATTTAGTTTTGTTTTAAATAGAGTCGGAAAAATATGTAGTTTTTCATAAAGAAAGTTTAAAACGTACAAAGTTAAAAATTAAACATTTTCCATAAATTAAACCGGGTGTGTTAAGTGCTTTTTGTTTTTTGAACATAATTAGGGTGTGTTTGCTTAAATTAGTACAGAATAAAGTTTGAAAAAAAAAACTATTTTGTTATTAATTATAAAATTTTTATTCTTTTTCCCTTTTTTTCTGAAAAAATTTCATCTCGTCTGTGTGTCATTTACAAAACACAAATTGCTGTTGAAAAATTCAAAATTTTCATTAATTTCAAAACAGGTATGTTTATTTTTAGTTTTGTAGTTATTTTTATAAATTTTATGAATATAATTTTAGTTTTTTTCTTCTTTTTTTTGTAAATTTCCTTTTTTTTGTGCATTAAACATTCTCCTTTTTGGGCAACTGACATTTGTCATTTCGTATTCGCGCTGCTCTTTAGTTTTTTTCTGTCTGCAAAATCCCTCTCTTCTTATAGTCTTTTAATATTTTATTTTGTTTATTCTCTTTATTTTCTAACTGCCAAAATAAGTATAAATGAAGTTTACTGCAGGGTTGGGTAATGGGGGATTTTGAAATAGTAAAGAAAACTTAAAAAGGGGTAGAAAATAGAAAATTTTCTTTTCAAGACGCATATTTTTTTAGAAACTTACAAATACTTTAATAGAACATTGTCTACGAAAACAGTTTTCTGTAAAAAATATCTTCTCAATTAAAAATGTTATGAAGTTTCATAAAAAACTTAAAAAAATATTGGGCTTAATGACTTCAAGATCTCTAAATTTACTAAATGTTTCACTATTTTGTTTAATATGGCTTTTTCAAAATAAAAATATGATTTTTTTTAGTAAAATCTGTAATGGTTCCTAATATTACAATTCAGTTAAGTAAATCTGTTTCAAAATAGCAATTCAGCAAGTTTTAACTCTAATTTAGCTGAGTAATTTTAAATAGATTAGTAATTATGATCAAATTTTGATTTCAGCTGTCTTTATTTTGAATTCAGCTAAAGTTTTCTGTACTCACGTAAGTCTAAAACATAAAAGAGTTAATAAAAACTTAATTTAGCTTAAGAATTTACAATTCAGCTAAGTAAATTTCTTCAAAAACACGCGAAAATTAAATTTAATTAATAAAATAACCCACGCAGCTAGTTTTTTTTGCTATTCAGCTAAGTATTTAAGTTTTTAAACAAGACAAAAATATGAAAAAATAAATAAAACTTTTATATTTTTTACAACTATTGTATTCAGTTATTTTTATATGCTATTCAGCTAAGTATTTTTTAGGGAAATGTAAAAAAGCTAAATATTTTAATGCTAAAATCATATGAAATTATTAAAAACATAATGCAGCTAAATAAAATTTGCTATTCAGCTAAGTAAACTTCTTAAAAAATGTGTAAAACTACAATTTTATTTACAAATATTAAATTCAGCTATTTTAAATTATCATTCAGCTCAGTAAATATAAAGAAGATTTAAACAAATATTAATATTATTATAAAATTTTTAATTCAGCTAAATATCTAAGTGTTAAAATAAGACAAAATAATGAGAAGTTATTAAAAACTTCGTTAAGCTAAGGAAAATTTGCAATTCAGCTAAGTAAACTTTATAAAACTTTATTTACAAATATCTAATACAGCTTAATTAATTTGCAATTGAGATCAACAAATGTAAATAATATTTAAAGAAATGTTATTATTATTTATAAAAAAATTTACAAATTATTACAAAATTTCATATTCTGTTAAATATTCTAGCATTAAAATAACAAAAAATCATATGAAGTTATAAAAAACCAAATTCAGCTAAAGAAATTTTACAGATAATAACGAAATAACAAATTCAGCTATCATAATATATAATCCTGCTGAGGAATTTTAAAAGAGAATATAAAAATGGTAAATATTAATAAAATATTACAAATTTAACTGCAACAATTAACAATTCAGCTAAAAATTTAAGTGGCAGAATAAGGCAGAATAAGTTATGAAGTTTTGTAATTCCGAATAAAATCTCTTTTAAAAATAAGTTAAAATTTTATTTTGTTACAAAATATAAAATTCAGCTAGCTGAATAGGCAATTCAGCTGTGTTATGTTATAAAGAAGTTGCAAAAATATCAATTTTCAAATTCAGCAGAATTGTTTTTTAAAAAGTATCTACTTTTGACATATTTTTTAAAAAGTATCTTAAATCAATTTTCACATTTCCATTAGCCAACGAATTTTCCATCCCTGCTCTAAGTTCTTTTCAGTTTATGTTTTATTTTATTGTTATTTACCGCTTTTTTTCTTGTTTGATAAATTGTTGTATTTTCAGACATAAACTTCAACAACTTTATATTCATACTCTGTTTTTTTCTTCTTGAACTCATTACTTCAAACTGAAGTTATTGGAGTTGGTCTGCAAGTTTTCTTTTTTCCCTCTACTTTGTTTTTTTTTCTACTTATTCCGACATTCTTTAAATTCATTGTGCCAGACATGCCTTACATGGTATCTCATTAAAGCTGGATTTTTTCTCCAATGCTTTGGAGTTTTCAACGTGGCTTTTTGGTATTTATGTATGTACAGAAAAGTGTGTGTAAATGTACATAAAAAACATTACTTTTAATGCCCCTAAAAAAATGTGCATTTAAAATTCATTAATTTAAGAATTTTTAACTTGAACAATGTGAAAATGCTTTAAACAACAACTTTTCATGACAGTTGTATGGAATGACCTTTAACCGTTAAAAGTTCGCTAAAGACCCTATGAATTTTTTGACACTTTCTATTAAATTTCTAATTTTAAGTATTATTTTAGCTGAATTGAAAAATTCTTTATATGGATTGAGTTTTTATTGATTGCTTGTTATTAAAATCCTTAAATAAGTTAGCTGAATAACAAATCACTGCAGCTGAATATAAATTTTTATTGTAAAATTCATAATTGAATATATTTTTGATAAAATATCTTAGTTGAATGGTATATTAAGCTAGCTGAATTTGCTATTTTGTAATAAAATGTTAATTTTTATACTTTTGAGTATGTTTATTTAGCTGGATTGCAAAATTTTTTAGCTGAATTGCTAAATTTCTTAGCTGAATTATGTATATTTTTGTAAGTATATATTAAGTATGTTTTTGATAAAATATCTTAGTTGAATGGTATATTAAGCTAGCTGAATTTGCTATTTTATAATAAAATGTTAATTTTTTATACTTTTGAGTATATTTATTTAGCTGAATTGCAAAATTTCTTAGCTGAATTGCTAAATTTCTTAGCTGAATTATGTTTTTATTATATAATCATAATTTTCAGAATTAAATATTAAGCTGTATTGTAAATTATTGTAGTTAAATTTAAAATTTTGCAATAAAATTCACGATTTTCCAATTTTTATTTTAAATTACTCAGCTGAATGGCAAAATTATTCAGCTGAATTAGGTTTTTATTCATTATTTAGAAATATTTCTTATAAAAACACTTTAATATTTAGCTAAAATATAAAATACTGCAGCTGAATTAGAAACTTTTGCAAGAATATCCATAGATTTCTAATTTTTATTTAAAATTACTTATAAACTACTGCAGCTAATTTTCAAATTTGTCTATAAAATTTATAATTTTGTGTATTTTCTTTAAAATTACTTAGCTGAATTGTTTATTAGACTAGCTGAATTTGAAAAATTTCCAAAAATATTTATAATTATCTTTTTTACATAAAATTTACTTAGCTGAATTGTAAAATTACTAAGCTAAATTAGGAATTACTGCTGCTGAATCTAAAAATTTTTAAAAAAAATATTATTTTCTATATATTTTTTTCAAAATTATATGGCTGAATTGCTTATTAATCCAGCTGAATTGCAAAATTTTGGAAAAAAATATAATTTTGAAAATTTCTAAAGAGATAACTTAGCTGAATAGCTATATTCTTTAGCTGAATAGAGTATTTAAACATTTCTACTTTTAATATGGTAAATTTCTGATGGCATTAAACCAGTTGAATTTGCGAAAAATTTTATTCAAAGGAAATGTATCAAAAGAAAACTTTATTTTCATGTGCTTCAAAACTATTATTGTTCCCATTTATTTGAACACCTCTGTACAAAGTCCATTTTATTTAAAACGACCTTAAAAGATTAATACGTTCAGTTCCAAACACACTTGTTTATTTATTGTCATCATTGTTTGTTGTTGCTTCAGTTTTTCTTGTATTTTTTCAACATTCTATTCAGTGTGCGACCTCATTTCTTTCTCTATCTCTAGTACGAAGAAGAAGAAATTGTATTCTTTAAGTACATTTGAACTTAAAAATGTTTATATT